GTTCAAATATGAGAAGTCATGATCCTAGTACCTATATATTTGTTCCAAGTATCTTTTGGACTTACCCGACCTGGTGGGCGTCCATGACGCACCCATTTCCCTAGACCTTCTTCATGGCTCCATCATGGCTCCATAGATGTACATTCCCGCCTGATACTTATATTCGATTACCAGATCTTCCCTATATTTCTTTCTCTACTCCGGGTTCAAGTTCACCAGCTTTTCATGAGTGTCTGATATATCGTAACCCACGATGGTTCTCTCTGTAATAAGCATCGGAGAGAGGTAGACAATATTCTTGCCCAATTCCATGCTTACATAGGCCTGCATCCTGCAAGGAAGAGTCATCATGGCATTATTAGTTTGTTCGTAACGTGCCTACAATGATGCAGTGGTGTCAAAGTCGTAATGAACCTACAGGGCAAATAAGGGGACTTGGACGACGTCAGAGGTCCTTTCACCGCAATAGTCTATACATGTCGTGGAAATCTACGATGACTTGACCATCCATGGGCGTGTGGAATTACTCCGCTGGAATCTTGATGACAAAGTTTTCTAGGCCCACTTTTGCTGCTTCCATGTACCACAGATGGAACCTTCTTACCTCTCACTTCTCTTCAAGGAGGTCGCCCAAGGTCAACATGAACTTCCCATGCATGTAGTTTTTGAGGCAATCATCCGACCAGGGCTAAAACAATGGTGGTGTTATCGGCCTGCAACACCAGGGCTTGAGATATTAGGGAGTGAAAAATGCAGCTAGCATCTCTAAATGAATTATAGATTTACTATGCTTGCTAGTAGCATACCTTTTAAACGTAGTTGAGTATGGGTGCTCGTCGTCTATTTGATAGGCCACCGCTCATACGTCCACATCTGGTGCAGGTTCACAGGGCCCAGTTCCTGTATCTGATTAACCATGTGCATCATTAGTTGTGGCATAATATCGAAGAAAGATGGTGGGAAGCACATCTCGAGCTAGCAAAGAGTCTCTGTGATGAACTATTTCAGGCCAGGTAGCTCAGCTTCATTGATGACCTTCTATGTGATGTAGTTGAAGAAGTAGGACATGCGTGTGATGACCATCTTCACGTACTTTGGACTGATAGCCCTGATCACAATTGGAAAGAACACTGTGAGCATGATGTGGCAGTCTTGTGTGTTGAAGCTGGTTAGTGTGAGGTCCTTCATCGAGACCAGGCTCTTGTTGTTGGAAGAGAAACCGGTTGGCACCTTGACACCCCTAAGCCACTAGCACATGGCCCACTTCTCATCTCTCGTCAGGTTGTAGCTGGCGCCCGGAAGGTCGACTTTCCCATTCTACGTCGCTGGTGTCGGGTGAATTTCGGTCTTGATGTCCTAGTTGACAAGATCCATCCATGATTTCAGACCATCCTTCATCTTAGTCTTGATGTCTAGCAGTATGCCAATGGTGCTTTTGAAGACATTCTTCTCGAGGTCCATGCAGTCGATGGCATGGGGCATATCTAGCTCCTTCCAGTACGACAGGTACTTGATGAAACACGACTGCTTCTTGAAAGGAATGGGGGCGACAGGTGGTTCCTCCATCCTATCTCACTTCCTCTTCTTCCTTGTCGTGGTCCCATCTTCCTCTTTCTTCTTCTTCTCGAACTCAACATCTATGCCCTTCACCATGTCAAACACCTTTTGCCCGTACCTCATCCTTTTTGACTCGCCAGTTTCAGGCTTGTCTTGGTTGTCGAAGTACTTATTCATCGTAGCTGCTCGGTACTAGTGCTTTTTGATGAGGAATCACCTATGCCTCATGTACACCATCTTCTTGGATGCACTAAGGTAAGTGTAGCAGGTACCACAATGCAAACTACGCAACCTGACTTACCTTTGATCTGCCCTGACAGTGAAAAAAGACTAGGATAATCAGTGATGGTGACAAAGATGATGACTTTTAGAGTGAACTCCTTTAGGAATGCATCCATCATCTTGACCACATCTTCCCATAGTATCTTCATGTCCTCCATGAGCAGCTCCAGGAACACATCTATATCATTGCTTGGCTGCCTAGGTCCAGAAATAATCATGGTTAGTAAAAGATACCTGTGCTTTTCACATAGCCAGGGAGGTAGGTTGTAGATGGTGAGGATGACCAGTCAAGTGTTGTGCGAGCTGCTGAGGTCACCGAACGGATTCATCCCATCGGTACTCAGCATGAACCTGACGTTCCTCGCCTCTTTACCAAACTCCGAGAACTTGGCATTGAAACGCTTCCATTGCTTGCCATCGAAAGGGTGCCGCAGCTTGCCATCGTCCTTCGTGCGCTCATTAGATGCATGCCAGGACATCAGCTTGGCATCCTCAGGGTTCCCGAATATAGCACGTAGGCGATCGATCATGGGCAGGTACCACATCAACAGGGCCGAACTTTTTCTCTGCGTGTAACCCACTTCATCCTCATCCTCAGGAGATGGGATCTGCTTCTTCGTGGTACTCTTCTTGGCCGTCTTCTTCTTCTTCTTTGGCCCTCTCTCATCGTCCGCATCCGCGTGACAACCAACATTCCTCTTGTACCGACTCGCGCCATAGTGCGAACAGCTCTGCAAGTTCTCATACTTGCCCCGATATAGGATACAGTGGTTAGGGAAGGTGTGGAACTTTTTAAGCTTCATCGCCATTGTCTAGATCAGCTTCTTCGCTCGGTAGGTATTGGCGGGCACCTTGTTACCCTTTGGGTATGTGTCAGCAAGGATACGTAACAGGTCATTGAAGCTAGTGTCGGACCAGCCATGGCGAGCCTTTAGCATCAGCATCTGGAGGTTAAAACGCAGTGCTGTCCAGTGTTTCGGACAGTCCTTATAGAGGGGATCAATTGCCACCTGCTTCATCTCTCTGAAATTCTCCAGCCACCTCGGGCTCCCAAATAGAACATCGTCGTGGTCAAGACGGTTAGCGATTGACTCAAAAAGCTCTGTGGTCTCAGGTCCCTCATAGGCTCACCGCCATCCCCATCATCGCCGCCCCCACAGTCGTTGTCGTCAGCCATGTCTTGGAGCAAATCATCCATCATGATGTAATCACGATCTGCATTGTCACCAGTAGCAGCATTGCTGTGCCCGCCAGCCAAAGCTGATGAGGTTTAATGTTCTGCATTCACCACTATTGTTGCCGTTGTCGATGAGTTTGGTCTAGATGCACCGGCACTCGGATCCTCTGCTTCCCCGTGAAACTTCCATACGGTGTTATCCTTGACGAAACCATACCGGACCAAGTGAGATTTCACCGTGTCATCTCTGTGGGTAAGAAGGTTCTTGTAGCTCTTACACGGACAGATGGTGTGTTCCCGCTTTAGACTCAGATGATGCCTTTTCGCAGCGGCAATAGATTTTGTCACATGATCCAGGTAAGCTTGATCCAGCCTCGATGTCTTGTACATCCATTCCCTGTTCATGACCGCGAACACCTTGCACACACAAACAACAAAAATGGCGCATATAAGCGGAGCAGTATAGAAAAAAGGTAGCCGAATAGCTCTAGATCTGATTTCTCTCTCCTCCATATAGATCTAGATTTAGATCTTAAGAAAAAGCACCCTAATCATGGAAAAAGAGAGAAGATTGAGGGTTTGAGAGCGAGAATCAACCTCTTGCGGTGCCCCCCTTCAACAAATCCAAGGGCAAAACCTCTCCCCCTATAAATGGTCACTTTTTAGGGTTTTGAGGTCAAAACCCGAAAAAAATAGAGGAGGAGCCATGGGGAAGAAGGGTGGGTGCGACTGTATTTATAGCCCAGACTTAACCGAGGCGGGCACTATAGGGAAACCGCCTCAGCTAATACTGATTAACAGAGGCGGTTGGCTTAGAGCAACCGCCTCGGTTAATCCATTAACCGAGGCGGTTATGTTAGGGCGACCGCCGCGGTTAATAAGCATTAACCGAGGTGGTTTAGCTACAGTGCCCTCCTTGGTTAAGGATTAACCGAGGCGGTTGCTGGCCTGGCTGCCCTGCCTCGAATAACCGAGGCGGCCAACTAGGCCAACCGTCTCGGAGCCCATCTGGTAAATGTTGTGTAAAAGATTTTGTGTAGTAGTGGGGTATGGAAGCTCGCCCTTGGTGTCCATGTGGGTATAGTTGTACATCTATCTTTTTGAATGCCTTAAGTCTTTAGACGTAATTGTTTGGTTATTCTCTCTTCTAGACTCATTGTGGTGAGAATGAATGAACTTAGATATGAGATGAATTATAAAGTTCATCACTTCATTGTTGTTCTCAATTGATACATGTAAATATATTTGCTAAGTTGATTCATGAGCATCTCATTTCTTAACGAATGCCATGCTTTTATGCAAGCAAACAACAAATGCCTATTAATCCTTTTGCATCCACCAAGTATGTATGTTGGAATAAAGCCTCTCAGTACGAAATGTACTCATGACGCTGTCGATAAGTTGTTTTGCATGTATATCAGACTTGATGACCATTTGAGCCAAGCTCAAGTGAAGTCGAGGTGTAGTAGACTGCAGGACGAGCGTCCCCAGAGGGCTGCCGTTACTCTGATGTCAATAATAAAGAGAACGAGAGTAAACTTAGAACGTGGGGTTTTATCAATGAATCACCTAGATACTATTTCAATTTTCCACTTGTATTCAAAAGCAATGATGTAACTTGTTAATTATTTCCAATCGTGTGGTGATCAAGTTATGTGAAGTCTTGATGATTGGTTTGTAGAATGTAACTCTTCTTATTGATCCTGATAATGGAGGTGCAGATGACACTCTCCTAGGGATCAGCGTAGTTGATTTGGCCTAAAGTGGGTCAGTCATGTAGTGGAAAGACGGACCACCCCACGTGTACCGTGATGAAAATATATGTCTCTCCATAGATGAGAACGGGAAACTGACATTGGATAGTCTTAATTGGGCTGCCAAAGTCCGTATCAACATGCATCTTTCTTCTCCTTAATCCTTAAGCTTTCAAAGGCGGCCATTGAACCAATAAACGATCTGGCTGCACCTGCATGCAGCGAACGCGATGCCGCCGCCGCGCCAAGCCCGCCTCTCTTCCCGGCCCTACTATTCCGTGGCAGCTGCGGAGCGTAGCAGTAGCACCAGGGGCTGGCTGGCCGTCCGTCGAAACAGGCCCTCCAAGCGGGCGCGGGCGCCGGTCGACACGATCGCGCAAGGCGACGAGGACGGCACGCCGCTCACGGATGAGATCCTCGTCGGCATCTTCGCCGGCTTGCCGGATTTCTCCGATCTGGTCCGTTGCGCGGCCACATGCAAGCGGTGGTGCCGCCTGGTCTCCGGCGAGGCCTCCTTCATCTGCCGCAGTAGGCGCTGCCGGCCCTACGTCCGCAGCCTCGCCCTTGGTTTTTTCTACTTGCACCGCCGAGGCGCCGTGCCACGCTTTGCCGCCACCGCGTCCGCCTCGCGCCGACTCGCCCTTCGGCAGCCCTCGCTGAACGCACTCGTGGAAGGCCTGGACGACGGCCTGTTCGATTCATCTAGACTCGTTGCCTCCCGGAACGGCCTCGTCGTCGTCGAGCTCCAGCGTGGGAAGCGCGAGCGGGCACTGAAGCTATGCGTGTGCAACCCAATGACCGGGGAAGTTACTGTCCTCCCGTCCCTCAGCGGCAAGGAAATCGTGCGACCGTATGCTTCTACCATCGTCACCGCCGACGATGACAACGACAACGACGATCGGACTATCGGAGTCACAGCAGGGACTCGCCGAGAGCACAGTCAGATCCATTCTTCAGAGTAAGGATTGAAAATTTTGTTTTCTATTTTTTTGGATTGGAATAAAATGGTAACGAATAATTGAACTATTGTTTGGTCATATTTATTGAGAGAGAATTCTTCAGTCAAGTGAAAGATGATGAGATATCATTACTCTATTTCAAAAAGGGGATCATTTACATTGTAGTAGCCTCGCTGTTTTCTAATGTTTCTTACTAATTTTTTGAGACAGTGGCACTTTGTCATTATGTTTAGAATTTGTACTTGTTTATAACTATTGCATATTTATATTGGGAGTTTTATGTACGTGAAATATCCAGCTGTGAAATTGTGGCTCCGCCGCTGGATCGGAGTCACGGCAGGGACTCGCCAAGAGCACCGTCCTCTTACAACGTGCTGCTCGTGTACTGCCGGCGCGGCTTTACTGCATGCCGGACCTACGTGTCCGACAGCGGCCGGTGGGGCCCCGAGGAAAAGGTGACTGATGCCAGACGTCTGGGCAAAAAGCAGATGGCAGCAATGGCGGCGGGCAAGAGCGTCGTGGTCCACAAGGTGGTGTACTGGCATGCAAAGACCATGGTGTTCGGGCTGCGCCTCGACACGCTGCAGGCACAACACGTGGACATGCCGCCAGTCACCGGAAATGACCCCGCCGGCAACACGCTGTTGGGCGTGTCGCCGGAGGGGAGGCTGCGCGTCGTCCAGGTTGTTGAAATGACATCCTACCCCAGCCCGGCGATGGTCAAACGGAGCGTCGCCATTGTCGTGGTCACCGGCCGGAGTGCCACCAACGGCACATGCCTATGGGATCAGCCCGAGCCCCGGCAGGTAATCGAGGTGGTGGTCGGTTCCTGCCGGCCGAGACGACGTGGATCCAGCTGCAGTGGATGTGTGAAAAGAGCGGGATGGTCTTCTTCACTGCTGGGTGGGACAATGACCAGACAGGTGACGTGTACGCGATGAGCCTCGACAAGCAAGAGGTGGAGAAGGTGGCGAATCACCATGGAGGTCCATCTTGGGAGAACTTGCATGGGTACGAGATGGACAGGACGTCATACTTGTCCTCGCTCGCCATGGACGACGATGACCCATGATAGCTGTGATTCTCGATTCATTGATCATGCAAGATGTAACCATTATTTATTTACATAAGTTGTCTAGTGGACATATATCAGATGCAAAGTGCCTTGTACTGGCACATGATTTTTTTTATTAATTAGTTAAATCTGAAATTGAGGATTCCACATCAAATATCTCTCAACCTTGTATATTTCCTCGAAAAGAACGGGGTTGTCTTTTTCACCGCTGGTCAGACAAGTAACGAGGCGTGGTTACAAAATAAACTGATTGCTTTGCCTACTATTGGACCTAATATCTTGCAGCATGTACACAATAACGATGACAGTGCAAAAGAAAAAGAACGTGTCATTGTTTCAGGTAAGAGCTCTCTTGATATGCTGAATTTGCCCACCATTGATGCTAATAATGCTATATTAGAACCTTCTCTTGATTAACCTTGGTCACAAATAGATTTTCCTGCTGATTGTTGTGATAAAGAAGAGTTGTGTGATAGTGCTATGATTAATCCTGTGTCACAACTTGTGAATGACATTGATTCTTTTGTTTTGGAGCCACACATACTTGTGCTGAAAGTACAAATTTTCTTCCCATTGTTACTGAAGGAAAATTTTCTTCCCATGGTTATATCGAATTTGACACTCTGTGTGCTCTAAGTAGTTTGAAGGAAAAAGTTGTATGTGCTGAATTGCCATGGTTATTTAGATGTGCATATCACTTTATTGGCAAATATAATTGTAAAGGAGAGTATATGGTGCATCGTGTCGACATTTGTTCAAATCTGAAATATCTTTTTATTGTACAAAAATATGATCAACTATAAGGCTGCAATAGCTTTAATCTTGTCATGGCAAGTTTCCCTAGATTTTTTTAAGAAACAAAGGTATGTCACAAGAAGGGGAGAATTATTGGCTACTGCCTACAACATGTCCTCCAACTAAGGTCAAACCATGGATAGTTTGCTATCAAGAAGGGGAGGATGATGAAGACATATGACATCTAAAGATATGACCATCAAATACAAGGTGAGCTCATTTCTATATTTGCATAACAATATAAGTAAGAATTTGATGTTACCTTATGGCGCTATGTACTTTCAATATACTTAGGAACAATCATGAGGATGATGATATGAACTTGGGAAAGACGCTTTCTATGGCCTCTACAATAGATAGGACATGGATACAACATGCACAAGACCGATCTTTGAGTGCAAGCACATCAAAGCCCAACATCGGTTCGCCGAGCTTCATTGGAAAGGGCATAACTCATCCATCTGGACTGTGATTGAGGTCATTGAGTAGTTGATGAAAAACCTATTTGATAAGCTTTCAAATGGATTAGTCCCTCATCAATATCATGTCGGCAAGGTCTTCAAATCATCATGACAAGCTATTGTTGTTTCTGCTGGGTACTGTGACATCGTGTGGGCTTGTTATTGACACTTGAGAGTACGCTGGCCCAAGTTGGAGCACGCCCCGACCATGTGGACAAGGTCTCAAGGATGCCAAAGGATGTCCTCCTCCTTGATCACCACCTTAGAAGACCAGCGTGTGGGCATCCAAGTCAAGTTGGATGGCCAGTCCATATCAAGTTCGAGTGCATCTCGAACTACAGGAGCAACCCACACTAAAACGGATGCCCAGGTCGTATACTGACTCCGTTTTTGACATTGTACCTATAGATGGAATGATAATTTCATAAGCTAACCAATGGCTCTAGTCCCACATTAAAATTCCTTTAGAATCAACAGGAATCATCGAAACAAGTTGATGTTCAGAATCTGTTAGGATGCTAGCTATATCGCCTTCTTTTGGGACGCTGGGCCTTGTAACGTGCCGGGACTCCTTAGGGACTTGAATAGGGTCCTTGGCTGCCCCTTAGAATATATATTTAGTAGCCATCGCCAACGACCACTCCCACTCGAACCCAATTTGACTAGGCTATTACTATATGATGCCCCTGCACCTGTCCTGCCTAATCACCATCCTCGTCCACTCAACAATCGGTAGCACCGCTGCCTCACCCTTCTGCTTTGTGTCCCTCATCATTGCTAGGACATCTTGTTACCGTTAGATTCATAAATTTCCTTAGTGATAAATCAGAGTTTGCGCGTTGAACCCTTATGCACGATCGCACCTTTGTTTATAGGGCCGACAACAACTACCAGCGTGCCAAGTACATGAGTGATCACAATGATTGATAGTTGCCTAATTAAAGAGCTATACTGGGATACCTATTATCTTGTAAAAGGAAGCAAATAATCTACTCTACAAGGCATCAATCAATTACTGGTGTCACTAGAGTTACTTTTATCTTGTACAAGCAAGCAAACAATCTACTCTACAAGGCATAAATCAATCACTAGTGTCACTAGAGTTACATTTGTATACATGAATTATATTGTCATGCTACCCCCCCCTCCTCAATCATAATTTACCTAAGTTAAGACTTCAATGAAACTCTTTTAGTTTGTATATACAATTAGAGTTTTTGTGAAACCATCTGCAGCTTGATCATGTGTTGATATAATTCAAACATCTAGATGTCCTATGCTACTTTCTGTCTAACAAAATGATAGTAAACTTCAATGTGTTTTGTTCTAGCATGAGACACTGGATTGCCTGGAAGATATGTAGCACCAATATTATCACACCACAAACATGCCCTAGTTGGTCACTGTTTACTAGTTTCTTTCAATGAAGTTTGTATCCAAATTACCTCTATTGCAGCAGATGTTATCGCCTTATATTCCATTTTAGTGCTTGACCTAGATACTATAGCTTATTTTCTAGCACTCCAGGAGACCAAGTTCGAACCCACTAATACAACGAAACCATTTGTGGATCTTCTGCCATCTCATTCCTAGCCCAATCTTCATATGAGAAAGTAGACTAACTTTTTTATGTTTAATCCATAGCTCAATGTATGCTTAACATATCTCAATATTCTTTTTACAGTAGTCTAGTGGACAGTTGTAGATAAATGCAAAAACTGTCATAATTTACTGAGAAGGAGAGATGTGTTGATGCAATCCGATCCCACAGTCCTCGCCAGCAATCCAATCCCAGCCGACTATGCTAGGGTGTTGGTGCAAGAACTCCACCCAGATGATCTCGAGGATGAGCTCGACCTGCCCACTCTAGATGGGATCCAGGACTTGGGAGATGCCAAGAACAACTTCCTTCATACTTTTGAATGAGGCAATATCATCTTGGATAGGACGCCACAGTCCTCGCCGTCTCCCATGGGTCACAACGACAATGAGCCACGTAGTCCTCCGTTGATGAGTAATCCACAAGAGGAAAGTGCGGCACCACCATGCACTCTCCCACCGCCAAACGATCCACAGGAGCAAACTGCACCATGCCCTCCCATGCCGACAAAGGGTCCACAAGAGCAGACCACAACATCCACTCTCCCGACGATGAGTACCGTGCAGGCGAAGTGATGTAGATGTGGCTCGATCTTCTAATAGGTTTGATAACTTCAATTGGTGGAGAACTCGACGTTCATGATCTAGGATTTGAACCAAGTCTGATTTGGACCCCCAAACCGTTACACCGCTGCTCCATTGGTTATCAACCATGTACAACACTATTGATAGCTTTCCTGCAAGTGAATCGAGAACACAAGCAAGAACGGGATGAAAGCAATCTTAAATTGCAACTATATATGGAGTTTAGTAAACTGATAAGAGGTTCAAGTATTGATTTGAAAGGACTAGTCAACACAAGCGAACAAGATCAAGAAAAGGGGCCCTGGTTCACAACAGTTCATCATGGCGATACAAAGTGTAGCGAACCATGTCTGTTTCACGAGGAAAACAAGAACGCAACAAAACCCAAACCATAACGAGAGAGATGACGGCTAATTATCGTCTTGGGCGTGATCACCTATGGAGACGCCCCCTAATGGGCTCTAAGACGATACATGGCCCAATGGACCAAAAGACGGTGTTACAGTACCCTGACAGATTCTGGATGCTGACTTGTTTCGACAATTCCTGTTGACTCAGAATGAATTTTGATGTGAAACAAAATCCATTGGTTAGCTTTTGAAATTATCTTTCCATCCATACGTGGAACGTCAAAAACGGAGTCTGTATGCGCTCTAGGCGTTGATTTTACCCCAGATTGCTCTTGGAATTCAAGATGGCCTTCAACTCGAGTTGGACTAGGCCTCCGCCATGGTGTACATGAGTTGTATGCCCTCTTGTTACCATCAAAAATAAATTGACGGTCAAAATGGTCACTCCTACACTCCATAAAACCTGCATATTTTATTGTTTGACCCTCTGAACTCTGTAATTGTCCACATATATACCATGTATTTATGATAGTCGTCGACAATTGGACCAGACAACTAATACTGCTGTGCTGATTTTCTTAGCGATGTAGTATCTTTGTATATATATGTGGTAAAGCATAATTCACTAAATCCACGTCAACTTGGTCGTACGCACACACTAGCTACTTGCATACTAGTATGCATGTACTTGATCAGGTGTCCATGGTTAGACTTAGTTTACAGTCAACAATAACAAAATCTGCTGTAGAGTGTGTACTACACGAGCCATCACTGGCCGACTTACCCATCATTGTGGACTTCCCCCTACACGCCAGCATAATTTCCATCCTTCTTCCTTGAATCCAAGACTTTTCACGACACGCTCAAACACCAGACATCCGTATGCATGGATATGGATGTCCCTCAAGCTTGAAAAAGCATTACTGCATCTCAAGCGTCGCGTGTGAGCTGCCTGCCCATACAGTAGTCCAATAACAAGTTGCGTTTGCTTTGACCGTGAGTACTCAAGGACAGATGATGTCATGGAGACTAGCTCAGCTCGATCAATTACAAACACATGCTGGTCAACGTACAACGACCGTTGACCAAAATATTTATCGCTTTATTTGTCCACTGATATGCAAATGCCAAATCGAGATCATATACATTTTTTTAGAAAATGGAAGAGACTTTCTGTTTCTGAGTTTTCGCACATAACGTTTATATT